GCGTTTGAAAGGGAAGGGAAAGGGAGTTTTAGGCGCCCCTCGCGTTTCTCTCGCACTGACTCCCTTTCCCTTCCCTTTCAAACGCCTGCCACGCAGGCTATAATGTAACGAACTTTTTTAACTGTGTATGTAGTTTGACAGCATTACCGAAACATCGGTTTAATGTCTTGTAACCGCGTCACTTTTACAGTCGCAATTTTCAAATGAACATTAAGTAACTACGCTGGGCAGGAATTTTAATTTTTTTGTTTCTCATGTGAACGTTTTGCCACGATTTGTATGGAAATGTGTGAAATATTGGCTCGCCAGGGGGGTAGCTCGGGCAGACGGTTGACGGGTTGACCCTTGTACATAGGATAATTTTTCTCCGTATAAACGAGGCCAAAAAATAATTTCCATTTTCCATTTGCTAGTTCACACCAAGTATGACATCGTAATAATTGCTCCAATGCACGTGCGTATCTCATGTTTACGTTCGGTTATTTGGTCTGCATAACGTATTTCTTTGCGTGCCACGTGTGATCACCACTGTCTTTTTTTTCTCCCCGACATTTCTCGACGGCCAAACGTAAAGAAAAATACAGCTAGGGTTCTTTGACATAAATGAGATAGTCGAAATACGAACCGAGAAAAACAAGGTTAGTAAGACTTCAACTTCAACTTTCGAATGACTTGCAATGAAAAATTTACCCTGGGGGCCAGAAGGTATTATTCCTGTTGTTTACGGCAATTTTCGCCGCAAACAACAGGGAAAAAAAGGCTCTGGCACCCAGGGTATGAAAAAAGAAGATCCTTAAACGTACCAAGCATTGGCTAATCTATAGGCGGGCGGCACAGTCAGATCTTCACGCCGCCGTCTTTCTTGTTGAATAGTTTAGTGCATCTTGGTTTTAAGTTAGGATAAGTACTCACTTTGGTAGACACTTGTTTTGGGTTAGATGCCACATGGATAGTAGCAGTTCTACCCCCACTGTGGATTGTAATTTGTTCCCGTCATACTTTTTTTTGGTTAAAAGATGCCTTGACATTTTTCACCTCCACTTCCTCAGGCTACTATACAGTCAGGCTTCAACCTCAAGGTGTCGGGTTCGCAAAAGTTAATTGAATATAAATAACCGTATATCGACCCCTCTTCTCAAATACACAACAGAAATATCAGCTAGCCGAAAAAACTTTGCTTTCATATTAAGCTGATCTTCCTAGACCCTATTGCTTCAGGATTTCAATCGCGTTTTTTTTGTATATTAATTTTTTATTTCGCGGAGTTGCGGTTGGTTTAGCACCTGTTTATGTAATGGTGGGCACAATACACGCTACTCGTCACGAAACGTTTTCGTGAACATTTGAACATTTGGCTCGTACAAAAACTCGCAAATACACCGCGCGGGTTTTCAGAGCTGATCCTTATCTCTCTTCGGAGGTTGTTTTAAGATTCTTGTCTAGGCAAAGGAGCTCTGACTTCCTTAGCTACCAATTATTAACATTAAGAGCCATGCACAAACTAATTTTAGGAAACATGCGTCGCCGAGCATGAATATACATTAACCAAGTGGAATATCTAAATTTATCTTCTATTTTATCTGTGTCAAATTAACATATTTATTTTGTCATCGCATTTCTTTCAAATTCTTTTCAATGTTTTTTCTATTCTTTGAACATTAATAACTACTAATTTTTATCACACTTTGTAATTTGTCAGTATTATTTCTTGTCATTGTGCTTAGTTGTACGGAAAACTTGTATGAAAAGCTGAGAACAGACTAGCTCGTCGGATCGGAAATCAGAATATTAGACCAGTACTGAAACGGAAACCATTTGTGGCGCATTTTTTACCCTGCGAGCAGTAGTTTCTCCAGGCCAGACCACTGCTCGCGGGGTAGGCTTTTTTTGACCCCTAAAAGAGATAAAAACAAACAAATGATTAATTTTAAAAAATCACCAAAACTAGATGCATCCATAGTGATTTGACAAGTATAGTATATTTCTTTAAATCGTTCGTGAAGGCTGTAGACAAAACAATATCAATCATTCGGCATACATTCAGTAATTTTTATACGGGCCGTAGTTTGGGTAGCCTGTGGTCATGCAGTGCCTTTTCTAAGTTGAAAAATAGTTAAGAAGAAGTGTATTGGGCAAATATAATCCAGTTTTCTTCTCTTTATATTTATGTTTTCCTCTCCGTCTTCTTACCGAGAGAATCAATCAGTTGACTGTTTTTCTACTTGGGATCCACAAGACAGAATAGTATCCTCTCTTGGTCCAGGCCCTCACTTAGCTCAGTCTCCAGCCGACGCGGGATCTCCGAATGTATTATTAAACTGAATTTATCAGTGTAATAGGTGTAACTTTATTTTTCCAGTATATGAATTACAATTGCATTGAGCCAAACTTTTGAACTATTGACAATGGATATGTAACTAGTATTTAGATCATAGGCCAACATTCCATTTCTTATTTTCAAAGATACCACATGTAAGACCTGATCGAGAGCGGAAAGTTTTTCCGATACCGAGCAGCTAGAGAGAGCTCACTAAATTTAGAATTTACTAAGCAGAATTTAAATTTTCGATTTACGAGCACTAAGCGGCGAGCAGAATTTAACCGAGCCTACCCAGCAGTCCGTTGGCTGGATTGGTCCCTCGGGATATACTACACTCCCAGCTCGTTTTTGATTATTGCCTCCTGCCATTTTACAAATGTTAAAAATTCACCCTGAGACAACCTGTACTATAAACTTTTGTGTTCGGCCGCAGGAGGGCCAAACTCGAAATACCACCGGTATCGGCTTTGTTGTGTAACCTTCAGCCAGAAGGCAAAAAACCGGCTGAAACACAGCGGTGCTTTAGGGAGGGGGAAAGGGCCGACATTTTCCCACCTTTCTCCCCCGCCTGGTCCCTGGTGAAGAAACGAATAATAACCTACGAATAATATGAAAGGATTTGAATAAAAATTAGCAAACCACGCGTGAGGAGCGAGTTTCCCTTTCCAGTGTAGTCCCCCCCGATCAATGTCATTAATGGCCATTTTATGGCTTTTTATATTGCAGTTTTCTCTCTATTCATTCGGTTTATAAGAGAAAGTGATTCCATAAATCGGCTCGGGACCACTAGGAATGAAGGAACACAGACCAAGCGTGTTAACTGATGTTTAGGTTAAGAATCCGTTGACATTCGTCGGAACAATCGTCCCCCCAGTACAAATCCCTGCGAGCAGTGGTTTCTCCAGCGTCCGGCCTGGAGAAACCACTGCTCGCAGGGTAAGTTTGGGCACGGTCGGCCTGATAATACCGTTAAGCTTCCTATAATTCTGTCACCTGCTCGGCGGCTCATTATTTCCACCGCCGTTTGTTAGTGACTTTCATTCAGCTCAACAAATTGTGTTATCATTTTGAAAGCATTAATCTTTTTGGTGAAGGGGCCACGCTTTTTCTTCTTCTTCCGGTCAAGCGTGTTGTTCAGAACTTTCGGGATCCCGCGACTTGCTATTTCCATTTCAAAACCCATTTCTGGTCCACAGCAGACAGTCAAACACGCTTGCCTGCCGGTGACCTGCTGGTAAATCAAATACTTGTGGGTCTTCAGACAGCCGGCGCAACTTTTTATGTCGATATACCAAAACCTTCGCTGGATTTTAATAATCCTAACGTTTACCAATTTTGTTAGAAACGGTAAAGAGTTATTGTTTGGGGGATACTCATTATTTGTATTCACAGCCGTCAGACAAGAAGCCAAGGGCAAATCTACTATAGACTTTAGACCGGTGACAGCTTGTATGGCTTTCCACAGACAGACTATTTTGATATCTACTAA